TGCTCCCAGCCATGCTGTCAACTTGTCCAGTATCTTTTCCTTCTGTCTGCCTCTACCTCTCTTTCCATCAAGCTTGCCTGTTGTTACAATATTCTCTATTGCATCTTTCCACATTGTGTGCCCAATGAAATTTGCCTGTCTCTTTCGTATATTCGTCAAAAGCTGTCGTCTGCAATTTGTTTCAATGAAGACTTCTTCTTTTGTTTTTCTAGCTGTCCATCGGATACGCCGCATGCGTCTTAGGAACCACAACTCTGTCTCCTCAATTGTTCTTTCCAGCTTTTTCTTGATTGTCCATGCTTCGCACCCGTATAATAGGAAGGTTGCTTTTTCCTTGGCAAATGCGGCTTTTAATGTATGTGTTACTTCTCCCATCTGATGATAAAATGGTCACCAAATATTTAAAATGTTGTACTTGCTTGATGGTGGTATCATTGATTTTGATATTGCATGTTAGGGTTTAAGTTTTTCTGCTTATCACCATTGTTTCGGTTTTCCTTATGTTTAGGCTTAAGCCCGTGTTATCCCTCTCTTGTACGATGACATTTAATAGATTCTGTAGATGTTCTTCATCTTCTGCTATTAGAAATGTGTCGTCGGCATATCTTAGATTGTTTATAATATGTCCCCTATCGAGATGCCTGGCATTTTTTCTATGTGTCTCATGATACTTTCACTATACCGTGAGAACAAGTCTGGTGAAAGTACACATCACTGTCTGACTTCTGTTTTAATCTGTATGTATTCGCTGATGTCGTTATCTATTCTTATTGCAAGATAGTGTAAAGGTCTACATTATGTAGGGTAGCTGCGAATAACCAATAAGCAGTCGCGGACCAACTGGCGACAGTCTTGGAGAGCGAGGTGGGACAGGGTGGTGGCAACCCTGTCTCTATAAAATACCTCATTTGCTCAGTAAAAGGACTGTCAGGCGAGAGCGAGGCGCCGAAACCTGCCACCTGCCCCCACTGCCTTGTGGGTCAGTCCTTTTGGACAAAGGCTAGCGGAGTAAACCGTACAAAGATCCAGCAGAAGGCAAGGGGAAACCACTACTGTATTCTTTCCTAAGAACGTCATGGATCAACACACAATGAATGGAGATACCGACGTCCGGTAGGGTCAGTCATGCGTAGCAGGTGACACTAGACCGCCATCAGGATACTGGTCACAAAAGGACGAAAGATACAAATATCGAAAACGCAATTTTGGCTTTGTTGCTGACAAAGAATACGAAATGCTAAATTCACTCCAATAATGTTAATGGAAATATGCGTTGAAGCCCAAAAAGATATGTGTTTATGCTCAATTGACTATGCAATAGATAGATAGATAGATAGATAGATAGATAGATAGATAGATAGATAGATAGATAGAATGATAGATAGATAGATAGATTTTTAATTTTATTTTTTTTTGGAGGGGGGGGGTAACGATTTTACGGTCAGACCCACGAGTTACTGGGGCAGTTGGGCTTCACACTGAAATTCAATATCTTCAGACAAGATCTAAACTTGGCTTGTTCAAATCTAGTTTTGACCTTGCGAGATCTTCGAGTTCTGGGTACCTGGAATGTCTGAGGGTGTCATCCCTGACTGAGAGGTTGGCGTGAAATAAAATGACTCGCCAATGTTTACGCTCGCTGGCACCCCTCGTGCATTTTGTCACATTCAGCCCAGTCGATTCTAGCCATGGACGCCCTGCAGAAAATTTTTTCTATGACTCGTCACTTACTCACGTACGTTCAGATTCCACGCCGTTTACATAATTTTATCCGTTACGCCTTTTTTTTGTTAACTGTACTTTAAGAATCAACTCTACCTTTGGCAGTGAACTTTCTACGGTGCTGCTGTATGATGAGGCGACCAGAAATAGAACCATGTTCCTGGCTTATAAATACAGCAACAGCCACAGGTGGGAGATCCCAACGGAACCCCCGAATTTCCTGAACAAGACAAACCGAGAGTGATATAGTATTATTTATCGCTTTGACTTTGAAGTGTGGTCGATTGTTTGTTTCCTGGTACCTACTCCCGAAGTGATTGTCAGTGTGACAGACAAGACGGTCCTGTTTTTAATATCTTCGTCCTTTCTTTGCCAAATCGGATTCGGGTAAGTCGACTCGCCACGACTTCTGTGTTCCGTGTCCCTTTGCAATATATCAGACATTGTCGTTGAAGTTATTGTCTTTGTTGCCGTTGATGTATTTGAAAAACATTTTTTTTAGAAATGTCATCATCGTTTTTGTCTTTAGTGTTGTTTTCATTGGGTTTGGGTTTGTTGGGTTTTTTTGTTGTTGTTGTTGTTTTTTGTTGTTTTTTGAGGGGGAAGTTGTTTTGTTTTGTTTTTTGTTCTGAATTTGTTTCCCGTCCCGTTATTAGCGTTGTCGTTGTCGTTGTTATTGTTGCTTTTGTTATTTTTGTTGTTGCTGTTATCACTGCATCTTACAACTTTTTACTGCATTTACTGTCAAAAGTTGCCATTTAAGATTCTCATTGAATGATTTCCAAGATGTTTCGAGGTCAAATAGTATTATTTTACTTGATCAGTTGTTGGGGGGTTTTTTCATTGTTTCTTTTTGTTTTGTTCAGTTTTGTTTTGCTAACATGCACCCCCATTTTTTCTGGCGCCTTTGGTGAGCCATTTCATCTTTCTTAAACTGAACTGAAATCCGGGATTTTCACACTTTATTACGAAATTTGTTTTTTACTTTTGTGTGATTGAAAAGGTCTTCTGATTACGTCATGAGAGCTCAGATAGAGGGAACGTCAGCATATTTAATCAATGGAGTGTTCCCTTCCGTCACTGGCGTGTTATAAGAACAGAAAAAAAGATATTCGTGAAAGAGCAACACTTAGTTCTACCACCATATACATGTATGTGCTGAAATCTGAAAAGACTCTCTATGCTGATGATCTTGCTTTCTGACAGTCACATCACAGCACGGTAATAGGAGCAGGAAAATTAAATAAAGACCTCAAGAGGCTCCACAATCACTGTCAAAAGTGGAAGCTCAAAATAAACTGCATGAAAAAAGTAAACACCATCTTTACAAAGAGCCATTCAAAGAAAAACTCCAACTGAAGATAGGAAATGAAAATCTCCCCTAAGAAGAATAACGAACCTACCTAGGAGTCAAACTTGACCAAAGTCTGACCATGAAAATCCAAGTACAGAGCATAAAGACACGACGAAATGAAGACTCCAACTTTTAAAGAAACTAGCAAGCGGTTCATGGGGATCAGACATGCAAACTTTGATAGCTCTATACCTTGGTTGTGTCCGATCTTCCCTGGAATACAGCAATAACCTACTCACTATGTGTAGTGCAACTACTGGCAATACCCTCGACAAGGTCCAAAATAATGTACGTGTATGTGCAGACCCAAAGAGAAAGTGACATAGTCACAGTGCAGTGCTAACAAACAAAGACATAACAAACAAACATAAACCCACCAAATAGAAAAGAAATATTTATATTTATACAAAGTATGAGAGAAAAAGGAGAGAGAGAGGGGGGAGGGAGGGAGGGAGGGGGGGAGGGAGATAGAATGGGATAGACAGACAGATATAAAGAGAGAAAAAATTAGAAGAGAGAGAGAGGGGGGTAGGGGGATATGGGCAGAGAGAGGTAAAGACAAATGGATAGACAGAGAGGGAGAGAGATAGAAAGAGAGAGAGAGAGAGATGGATAGAATGATGCAGATAGAGAGAGATAGAGACAAAAGGAGAGAAAGAGAGAGAAAGAGAGAGAGAGAGAGAGAGAGAGAGAGAGAGAAAGTGAGAGAGAGATAGATAGATAGATAGATAGAGAGACAAAGAAAGAGAGAGTGCAAAAGAGACTTTTTTCTTTAAAAGAACGGCACTTGTGTGTTTCCATATTTACCTTCCGATTACCCCAGATGGCTGCTTATTCACTTACCGAGCACAGGTAGTTTCATAATGTGCTGCCAGCACTAAGCAAGGACGAACCATGAACAGCAACAACGAAGAAAATAAATGTAAAAATCTCCAAGACAAACAGAGCAGTCAATAGCGCGGGGAATGTACAAACAAATGAACATGTTTTTCCAGCTATTGACATTCCTCCCAAAGTTCGGCAGAATTGAACCTGAATGTTGTGTTTGTTTGTTTGTTCGTATGTTTTTGTCTGTAGTTTTTTTCTTTGTTGGTTTGTTGTTTGGTTGATTGATTGGTTGGTTTGTTGCTTTTTTCGGGGGGGGGGGGGGGGGTAAGATGATAGAGAAACAAACCGTGGAAAGATGCAACCTTTTGAGAACGCATTCAAAGGGAACAAAAATTCTTTTGGACACTGTTAGAGCAAAACAAAAAAGTGACTTCCTTGCTGTCACATTTATATAATTATGGCTATATTTATATGTTTATCTTGACCTCGTTTGATTGAGTTCCTCTGGTGTTGGGGAAACAAAGTAAATAAATATGAGCGACGAAAAGTTGTTACTAAAAAATGTTGAAGTTTTGGATTGTTTTCTTTAAACAGTTCTCTTAGGTCATAATTACGTTTTCTTTCCAGGCTTTCAGTAATTTCTTTTTGTCATTTTGCGTCGAGAATTTTGACAGATTCTCGATTTGATTTCTTCGTTTCTATCTTCTTGACAATTAATGTCTGTGGTGTGGCGGTTTGGCTCTTCGTTGTGGCATGCAAATAAAATGGTATGAGTTTAACGCCCCTATCAACACTATTAGGGTTATTTAAGAGGCGGGACCTCCTAATTTAACACCCGTCTCCGATAGGACCGTGCCAAGTGGGAAGTTCGTGTAAAGTGCCTTTCTCAAGGACACAATGTCGGACCGAGCTGAGGCTCGAACCCCCGAACCCGCAATCTTACGATTACGAGTCCGGTAGCCTAACCACTCTCTCTGTTGGGCATTGGACGTTGCATCCCTCTCAGACCGAGTTGGCCCTGAAAATGATCTAAATTCTGTCAATGGGGGCGTAGAACATTGACATTTACAAAGGAAAATAAATGCAACTCTCTTTTAGTCCCTTATTACATGATTTTTTCTTTGCTGGACAGTCAATAAAATAAGTCAATATAAAGTCATCCGAGTGGTTCCAGAGTCACCGAATTCTGTCACGTATATAGTCAGTGTTGTTGGTTTTATGGCGTCGATGGTCTAGTGGTTAGGCTCTCGGACTCTCAACTATAAGGTTGTGGGTTCTAATCCCGTCAAGGGCCCAATGTTGTGTCCTTGGGAAAGGCATTTTACTCGCATCTCCTCGTTTCACCCAGGTGGGAATGGCAATGCTGCAGACAGCGAAAGATCTTGTCAGTTTGTGAGTGTTTGAGCCCTTAATCGGCTGCTTGTACTGCATGCTTTCCAAAACGCCAAGAAAGTATCTGAGATGTCAAGGGTCTGCTGGGGTCATAATACAATGTAACTGTAAAGCGCATGCTGTAGAGTGCGGATATGCCTTATATAATTGCAATTTTTATACGATATTTGCTTTCTAAAAGCGTAAGTGACCGTACACAGCAGCTGGTTTGGCTTGAACGTTGTCCCCGCCCCCCCCCAACCTCCCCCCCCCCCCCAAACTGAACCCTTCACGGTATGAGAAATTCAGTTGAAACTGTCTAAACGGCTATCCCATGTCGAAGAGAGAAAGTGACCATCTTAGCTAGATGGGCGTCTTACGTAATGTCATTTTAAAGAACGCCAAAGGGAGGGAGGTGGGGTTGGGATGTGGTCTTTTGTAAAAGTTGTTCCCGCATCCGATCCGGACATTAGGGATTACCTTGTTAGTGAGACAACTTCCTGGGCCTTCGGCATATTGTGGAAGGGTGGCCAGTTCCTTTCCACGCCGCCTTTACTCCCCCAACTCGAGGTCAGGTACCCACCACTGCTGGTTCAAATGATTACCTTGTACAGGAGACAAATGGACATCTTACACAGTGTCATTACGATGTATATAAAAATATGCAGGGGGGATGGAGTGAGAGGTCGTTAGGACAGGTGATTGTCGTATACAGGAAGCAGTTCGACCAGGTTTGATTGTAAATTATGAATCTGCCTTAGACGTAAGTGTGTTCTAGATACGAGTCGCGAGGTCATCATTATCCAGTGCCAGATCTGCAACAGACATCAGCGATCAAGGTTTTCCATTCATTCCTTTGCTCGGATGCTCTCAAAAAAAGCTACGTTTCCCTGATCTTTCCACGTAACCCATTTGTTTAGGTTCCCTAAGTATGTTGTTCTGGGCCTACCCCTGCCTCGCTTGCCCTCAATTTTGCCAGTGAGAGCTAGATGTTCAAGACCCTTATGTCTATTCAGGTGTCCCAAAAAGTGCATTTGTCGTTTCCTGATTGTTTTTAACATTGAGCGTCCCACGTGGGCTTCCTCCATCACTACCTCATTTGATTTTTTCCTTACACGATACTCTTGACAGTCTCCCAAGAAATCACATTTCTGTAGCTTCTATTTTATTTTCACCTGTTGCTGACATGTATTCCAAACATTTGGATGACATCATGCATTGGTTTGATAACGCGCTATTCACACCTGTATCTAGCATGGGAAAGACAGGGGGTGGACAATGTAACATGTCAACAACAGCTGATTCTGTCTGATTATCGTTTCCAACTGGTCATATCGAGACGTTCTAAATATTGAGAGATATTGAGAAATTCTTCAGAGTAAAACTGCATAATATGCATGCGACACATGCGTCGAAAGTGTGACACATACCAAGGGGCGGACTTTCCTATGGGCATTTGGGCAATGCCCCCTTGGCCGGTGCCGAAGGGACAAAGTGGGCCGATTCCGAAAGGAAAAAGTTCGTCGGCGCTTACTTTAGATTACTGTGTTTATAAGACCAGTACTCATTTTTCTTCAATGTTTAAAAAATCTACTTGTAACCTCGGGGGAAAAAACGTTTTAAAAGGCACGATTTTATTCTCACTGTTCACTTCGCTGAGATCCCGGCGGCCGACATTTGATAGAACTATTGTGCTAAGTTCAGAAAGATGTTTGTTTTTTTAAAAATCAGGGCAAGGCATCCCGTTTCCACTGAATTCGCTGTACAAGTTTCAACCAGTTTTTGTCAGTCAACCAGAGACTAAAAATCATAGTATTTTGCATCTGTTCAAAAG